TGTGTCCCGTCTCTGTGCGTGTACCAGGACCTCTCGTATCTTAGCCACCTTTTCTACTCATCAGTCTTGGCAGCCTATTGCTCAGATTTTGGATAAACCACTTTGGGGTTCCTCTCGTCTCTCGCGGGCAGTTCCGCTTCTATATGTTGAGTTTGTGTTATTCTAGTCCGGGGTTTAGGTGGCCCCATGATGTAACCCCTGCCAATCCCCTACCGGAGACAGCAGAGGACTGGAAGAGAGACACAAGAGAAAAGAAAAGAGAGAAACGAAGAAAATAGAAACAAGTTACAAGAGAGAAAGCTCCACTTCGCTTCCCCACTGGGGGCCCCACCTCCATGCATGAGTTGGTCCCAGTGTCTCTCAGACCACCCATTGGCCTATATCTAGGGGGTGCCCTTTCCTACTCAGTCGCCCTTCCACCACTCCAAAGTTGTGGAACTACAGCAAAACACCGTCCAGGGTGATCCTGTTTGATCGCTAGGAGCTCCTCCATCTCACAGATGTGCCCCACCTGTTGGATCCACTCCCTCACCGTGGGGGCTCTAGTCTCCTTCCATAGTCTAGGTATAAGCGACCTAGCAGCATTGATCATATGCTTCTTCAGGGATTTAACTGTGTTCCCCCTGCCCTGTTCTGGAAGGTGCAGCAATAGAACCTCTCTACTCAAGATCTTACCCATCAGTTCATGTATCCCCCTCCAAAATGGTTGGAGAGCGGCACATGACGAAAAGATATGTATCGGAGATCCCTTTTCAGTTTTGCAACGCCAGCATTCTGCTGGAATTGTGGAATCCATCTTATGCAGAATCTCAGGCGTTCTATACCAACGAGTAAGTATTTTGAAATTGGTCTCCTGTGCTTTACTACTCACTGAGCATTTATGTATCCCCTAACAAACCTTTTCCCAAGTCTCTTCTGAAATCTGCTGTGCTAAGTCAACCTCCCATCGCTGTCTCAGAGTCCGTGTCCTAAGGGGTGTAGAGTCTGTTAGTAATGCATAGAGCCAGGATATCAGATGCCTGGAAGGTCCCCGACCAGTGCAGGCCTGTTCAAAGGGTGTCATAGCTCTGGCAAAGTCTCCCCTCCCGGCAGTCAGGTAATGACGCACCTGCAGATATAACCACCAGGGAACCTGCCCACCGCGGGCCATCTCCAGTAGGTCTGCTCTGTCTAGGAACTTCTGGTTCCTGAAAAATGTATGTGCTGTTAGTAAACCCCTGGCGCCGCCATTGGCGTACAAACTCCGCTGTAGAGTCTGCTGGGAATGCCCTATTATCTGTCAATGGAGTGAGAGGGCCCTCAGGGGTGGTCAGTTGCCTCTTGCATATGAGACAGGACATTGCATGCACGGATGCTTCAATAAGAGGGTACAGCCGCAGTTCCGGGTGCCTATATTTATCCCCTAACCACGTGGCCGAGGTCAGGGGCTGTGGGGTCCACTTCACTTCCATAATCACCCATAGTTTAGTGCTGCCATTCACATGCCAATCCACTATCCTGTTCAGGTGGCACGCCCTATAGTACCCGCCTATGTCCGGCACCCCCATTCCCCCCTTTGACTTGGGGGCTTTCAGCAGGGCCCACGACACTCTCGGGTAGGGCAGTAGCTACCATGGGGCAAGTGAGGCACTCGCCTCAGGCACAGCTGAGAGGGGGCGCAAGGAAAAAAATGTATGCCATTTTGGATTTGGCCACCAGCGCATTCTGAAGGCCAGGGGTATGACGTCACATACCGCACACGTCTGTTGGGGGGCACAATTTTCTGTTCTTGCCTCGGGCGCAAAAGGAGCTAGCTACGGCTCTGCTCTCGGGTGTCTATCTTGCCAGACAAAACGTCTGAATTCCGTGTCTATGTGCTTAAGGAACGGTCCGGACAATCGGATCGGTATGGTCTGGAACAAATATAGTAGTTTTGGCAGTACAATCATTTTGACCAGTGCTGCTCTACCAAACCACGATACAGATAGAGACCTCCATTGCTGAAGGTCCCTCTTGACTGCGGCCAAGAGCGGCTGGAAACTCAGTCTGTAAAGATCTACTGTGGAGGAAGTAAGATAAATTCCCAAGTATTTTATGGCCTGCTGTTCCCAGCGTTCCCGGAATGAGCTCTGAAGATCTGCAATGCATTCGTCCCCACCCTTTAGGACGAGAGCTTCTGATTTCGTGTAGTTGATAGAAAGATTAGATAAATCTCCTTACTCCTTAAACAGTTGAAAAAGCTTTCCCATGGATGACCTGGGGTTCGTCAGAAAAAACAACACATCGTCTGCATAAGCTGCCACCTTATGCTCTACCCCCTGATGGAAGACCCCCTGTACCTCGGTTCGGCCTGCCCCATACGGAGAAATGGTTCTAATATCAGTATGAAGATAATGGGGGATAGGGGACATCCCTGCCTTGTACTGTTTGAGATCTCAATTGGTGCGGACATGGAGCCCGTGGTAAGGACCCTTGCCCATGGTTCCAAGTATATCGACCCTATCCATCCCTTAATTTGCCGGCCGAGACCAATATGCTTAAGGACCTCCAGCATGAAATCGCATGCGACCCTGTCGAACGCCTTCTATATCCGTGGAAAGTACAATCGCCTGCGTTGGCCCTGCCTCCAACAGGTGGATCAGGTTAATTGCCTGTGTCGTATTGTCCCTGGCCTCCCGGCTCGGGACAAAACCCACCTGCTGTTGTCCTACCAACTGGGGTATGTGCGGCAGAAGGCGGTTCGACAGATCTTGGTGAACAGCTTCAGGTCCCCATTCAGCAAGGATATGGGTCTGTAGCTCGAGCATATCTGGGGGTCCTTGCTGTCTTTGGGGATAACTGTTACATAACCGTGCCTCCAATGACTGGCGAGGGAGTATGGATCCCCACCGGATGCCATTGAAAGCAGCGAGGAAGTGTGGTCCTAGTATGTCCTTGAATGTTTTGTAATATTGGGACGGTAGGCCTGGGCTCTTCCCCGGTTCGTTTGGGAAAGCGCTACCGTCCATTTGGTTTCTGTAATAGGGGAGGCCAGGGCCGCGGATACCTGAGATTCCAATTTGGGCATCTGGGAGTTTTGTATGTAGGTGCGAATGTCCCGAAGTCTAGTGGCCTGCTGGGTCGTGTCTCGTGACGACGGGGGGTGTAAATTATAGAGATCACTAATATTCCCTGAAGCATTCTACAATTTTGGGGGGCGACGAAGTCAGGGAGTTCGATTTGTTCTTCATGAACCTGATATGGGAGCGGTACAATCTTGACTTCACCG